ATAAATTAGGAAAGTCGCGTGGTGTTTTGCAGGAGCATGCTAAACAGTACGAATGCGTTAGAGGGACACATACCGCCAGCCGAGAGTGCAGCCCTGATGGTGGCCGAGGAGAAGCCACATCCTGACTCATGTAAGGCCTGTCAACCTGACCGACAACAGTTTTATCATCACCTGTCACTATCACATATTCCAGCGACAAGGCAAACTATTCCTCAGACCTGGCTCTAGCTGTTTTTTATTCTTTCAATCCCGACGTATTTTTTTTTATTCTAATATCGCTCTTTTTATTTATTTTACTTTTTTTATTATTCAACAATTTAATTTAATTAAATAATTAGTGCTACCATCTGAGAGTAGTTTTAAATGATGATTTTATTAATCAAGAGAATTTAAAGGCTGAACTTCATTATTTACCACTACAATTTGTGGTATGACTTTTTTTTATTTATTATCTTTATTTTTTTATTACTTTTTAGTAGTGTTTATTTTTTTACAAGTTAATTTTGGTAATTAAATATAACATGACAATAATTTATTTTTAAAAAATCAATAAATTTACAGATTTTTATTTATATTATTAAGAGAATAGAGTTAGACTGCATTCGAAAATTCTCTATCTCTAGATACATAATTAAGAAATGACCTTGTATCTCGTGAACTATTGACATTTTTAAAGATATAAGCTCATTCTGATGTAACACTCATCGAGACCTTACATTTGAGTACCCACATCAATTTTTCATATATTTTATATATTATATATATTTCACAAATACCATATATATAAAATATATCAAAAAAATACCATATATATGAAAAATATATCAAAAATGCATGTGGGTACTCAAATGAAAGCTCTTGATGAGTGAAACATCGGGATGAGCTTATATCTTTAAAAAGGTCAGTAGTTAAGAACTTACAGTGCAATTTAACAAAATTCATTATTTAGTCAAATAAATTTTTATTTATTTAAAGTTCACAAGTTACGACAGTCACTATGTGACTGCAAAGTTGCTAGTTTTTGTTTAAAAAAATTTTTTAACGCATTATTTATAAAATACAAATTTGTAAATTTTTTTTTTGTGAATATTTATTAATTTATATAAATTCTACAATGACAACAAAATTAATATTTGTGTTTTATTAATTGCACCGAGTCAATTAAAATTTAATCTGACATATTTCATGAACAGCCACCAATTAATTTACTGTGATCCGAATTTTAAATACCGAGTTTTATAAATTACTGTAAAACCTCCAAATCTAGTAATATAAGCACTATACATTATTGTCATGTTATATTTATGCAGGGATTATTGCCGACATATTCTTCCCGTGGGACATTAATTCCATGAAATATATACTCGGAGATCTTTTTACTCTAAAATAAATTACCCCGAATTTGTTACCGGTCACTGCTAATTACAATAAAATAAAATTATTAGCAATAATAACAACAGTAAATTTCTAATCAAAAATAAATAAACACTATTAAAAAGTAAATAATAAAAATTCCCAGACATAAAAATGATCAACTGATAAGTCCTGACTTTTAGGACGCGCAAAAAGGAAACGATGTTACATTAGAAGTTTATAACAACTTGCCACCGATATAATACACACAAAACCTAGGATAAACTCGGTAAGACTTAAAGTTTAATAAAAAACCAAGTTTTATAAATGAACAACAAAAAGCTCGACACTTTGTTATCGTTTGAGGAAAATAAAATACCAACACGGTAGTCAGCACGCCTTTAAACAACTTTATTAGGGAAAATGGATGTACGTTCTGATGAAGCACTGTTCGATTATTGGTTAATTTATAGTCTACTGATAATGAGTGGCAAAGTTGCTTTATTTACTCCACAAGCGACACGCACTTAATTAAAAGGTTTTTATGAAAATCACACATTTTTTAAATGTGAAGTTGATTTATTTACTGATAAGTCCCACGCAATGCAATAGAAAATCACAGAGCACATTGATGATCTAAATTATATTTATATAATTAATATTATATATTATAAACAAAAAAATCAATAGAAAATCACGCGATCACTAAAAACAGCAGCCTAATATCTGTGTGAACCCACCAAAAACAGCCGTGTGGTCAATAAGCTTTGAGGAATCGTTTGCTAATTGTTGCAAAATCCTTCTTTTATTGAGTAACTCCCACACTTATGCATGACACCTTCTCTGTATGTTTGTAACTTTATTCATTCGTAGTCTCACTGTTATATTTATTATCATTGTCATTATATTTATTTAAATCGCTATTGAAGCATCATTCTTTTCTTTGCTTGTTTCATACTGATAAATAAATGTATACTATTCAATTTATGGTCCCCGGTGTGGTGTAATTTAATAAAGAAAATTCAAACTCATATTTTTACAAAATAAATTGTCATGATCATAAGTGTGAAACTCAAGAAACGCAGTTCAATTGATATTAAAAAATAGTTTAATCGTTAACAAATCATTTATTGGAGACCACTTTTTAATATTAAACAAATATTTCTTAGTATTTAAAATGATTTTTTTGTATTTAATAAACCTGATATTAATTTATTAAATATTAATAAATCTTTTTAAATACTAAGAAATATTTGTTAACGACTAAAAAGTGGTCTTTAATAAATTGACGGTCTAATTAGCAATTTGTCTAACTCCATATTTTTTAGAGGGTGATTTTTTAACATTTTGATGTAGCCATAATCGAATTATAAATTATTTGAATGATTCAAACCTGAATATTATATCTCTATTAGGTAATAATGATATAAAATGGTTTTTTAAAGTGATAATAAATTTAAAACTAATTGTTTTTTTCGTACAAATAGAATATTATCTAAAATGAAGTTAGACCATTTGCTAATTAGAACGTCGAAATGATTTGTTAAATATTAACAATTATTTTTAATTATAAACAAATCCTTCTATAAGTGAGTTTTTATAAAAAACATTCGTGTTAAAAATTTTTAAATTAACTTTATGGTAAAAGGGGACCATTTTTACAAAATAAATGTTTACTAAAATTTGTAAAATTATTGTTAACTCATTAATCATTAGATTCATTTTTTGTAAGTCAATTTATTTATTATCGTACACTGAAAAAAAAAATTAACTTGATTCAAAAGAAAAATTCTTGAATCAAATAAAATTTCCTTAAATCAAGAATATTAAGTTCTTCAAAATTATATACTTAATTCAAGAAAATTTTTTTTTCTGTGTAGATTTTAACCCACCAAAATCATGTCACTTGCCAAATCACACATCACATTATTATAAATTTACGTTTTATAAATGTTATTTTATTTTAAAATTGTCATGATCATTTTGTATGTCACTTTTTACACGACAAACACTGGCCTATGTAGTAGTTTAATTTTAATAAATATATCAAGAGTTCTAAAATTGTTTCAACGGATTTTAAACTGCTATACGTGTTTTAATTATTATTATTATTGTTTTTATTATTAATTTTTTTGTTATTAACATTGTTACTATTGATATAATTATATTAATAAATATAAATAAATGGACACCATATAAGAGAAGTAATTATTGTTGGAAGGGATGTAAAGGGCGTAAATTTGTGACCGAGTAGTAAGTGTGGGTAATTTTAGATTAGTGTGTGTATGTGTGTATATTTATATTGTGTACTATTATGTATAAAATTTGTCACATACTGTGTAATTGTCATAGATGTTAATTTAAATGGTATTATATTTAATTGTTATAAGCATGATTACGCATGGCAATGCATGAGTATTATTATTTAATTATGAATAAGATTGTTGTTATTATAATTATAATTTTGTGGCAAATTTTTTTATTTGCAAAGCTTCTTTAAATAAATTTATCAAAACTGGTCGTAAAAATTTGTTTAATTCAATTGTTGGCAATTTTTCATTTTTATGGCTAATAAAAGCAACAATTCATTTATTTATTGACGATTTTAATTAAATAGATAAACGTTTTGTTTGGTCGGTATTTTAGCAGCATAAAAATCTGATAGAGAAGCATGAATTTTTATTTTAACTGGAATAAATTTATTAGAATGAAATAAACTAGAGGAAAAATTTTAATAAACTATTAAGTTTCATAACAGATGTTAAAATTTTATAAATTTTTTGATTGGAATCTGTATTTATGATTTATAAATATTGTTTTACGGTCAATGTAAAAGTTAAATGAAACTAAAAAATTTATTGAGATTAAGTTAAAAGTTTAATAAAGATAAAAAAAAATTCAATATTGGTTAGCTGAAAAATTGATATTAAAATTCCATCAGTCTGCTTTTAAAAATGATAAATCAATTTAAACCTTTAAATATTGACACTGTAAATAATGCATGAAAAAATTTGATACAGAGAAACTTTATCGAATTTTAGTGTCAATAAATCAAAAAAAAAATTTTTTTCTATAAAATGTGAGTAAATATTTATATTTTTGAAAAAGTAAATTTTGTTTAAGTTCAAAATTGTAATAATTAATTTTTTATTGAAAAAAAAAAAAAAAAAAAAAAAAAAAAAAAAAAAAAAAAATTATTTTTTATGAGAAAAAAAAATCAATTTAGCTCAGGGTGGTCACTAAAAAATAATTTTCTTTTTTTTTACAATAATCATTTTAAGTATTTTTTTTCTGACTTATTTTTATTGAAAATTAAAACAAAGATAAAAAATTAAAAAAATAAATAAATTTTTTTTGCTCCGATTTTTTTTCATACAATTATTGTAAAAATGTACCAAAAAATATTACCAATAAACAAAATTCAAGTTATTATTGACAATAAAAAAAATGTTCGATACTTGTCGGCTAATTCCAGCTTATGACCACCCTGTAACTTAAAAAGTAAAAAACGAACCAATTAAATTTAATCGAAAAAAAAAAAGTACTTTGTATAAACCCTGAAAAATAATAACATCAAAGCTCTGGAGCTTTAAAATAAATGGAATGTAAATAAATGAAATGAAATATAACTAAAAAATATTTTATAGTTGTGTTTGCAGCTGGATCAGAACGCTCTTCCATCGCTCCCGCTCAACCGGAGAGGGCACCGCCCCCGCTTCCCCCGCCACGCTTTCCGAACAGCGGTGTCTGACAATGGGAAACTCCTCTTAATATTGGGAACTTTATGATAATTAACACACCAATACCGCTGCTATTGAGTACAAATAGTCTCACTTTGGAGAACCATCTGTACGAATTGATAACAGAACGCAGTAAAGCTTGCGCCGCATTCTTGAGAAATAGTTTAAGGCGCGCCGCTTCAAACGCTAACACAATACAATGGAATATTAATGTCGAGTCGGGCTTAATTAACACCAGCCATCAGTCACATTTATCTAGACCCTAAACTAATTCACTGTTAATAACAAATAGTAGTTAATACTTAATAATTAATAATTAAAAATAATCACTATTGTTAGTGAAAAACTAAATTTAATTTTCAAAATTAAATTTTCCCGATTAATCTTTCGATTTTCGACTGCTGTCTCCAAAAGTGTTCAACTCACGACAACCCTCGTCACATCTAATTAAGATGCGATCATAAATTTAAAAATCACGGACTATGGTATGAAAAATTCATTCTACTGTCTATCATGCCTATTTATCATTAAGAGTGCAAGTTAATTATTTTAATAAATAAAGACTTCAAATTTGTGCGACAAATTTAATTAATTAAAATTTGAATATTTAAATTTTACTTAATTTATTTGAGTTGTGGGTGTAACGGAAGGTTTTTCAGTTCTCTGAATAATTAATAATTAATCTGAGATTTTAAAACCCGGAAAAAAAAATAATTTTATTGGCAAACCTTCCATTATATGTACATACTTGTGTATATAATTGTAATTTAAGTGTCCGTTGATTTAATTAGTTTTATCTGTTAAAGTTATAGTTATAATTATTGATTATAAATTATAAATAAATTTTGTACTATATTACTCGGTGGTATTTAGAGTAAAGTTGTTTGACGTTGATCTAAGTTTATTTAACGTTTGGGTATTCATTGAACAGTATTCTAAAAACTGTGATTTATATTTATAAAATATTTATATTGAAGTTAAAAGTTTAAAAAATATATTAGTTAATTTATTTATTAATTAAGTTAATAATGCGGATTGAAAATTCAATCGAAATTATGATGCTGTTATTGATGAAAATGAAGTTAGCTGACAATTCAAAATTTTTATGAATTTTTTATCGAAAAAATTTCAATTAAACAATTAAAAAAAAAATATCATACGTTAAAAACTTAAAAAACTATAAGTGCATTTTTTTATAAATATCTTTTTAGTTGGAATTTAATTAAAAAAAAAAAATCAAAAATTTTTAGACGTCTGCTAACTTCAGTGTCATCTGTTATTGATTCAATCTCACATCAAATAACCAAGGGGTAATATAGTACTGTTTAATTAAATAATCAATCTTTGATTATGTGCTGTCTTGTATTTATCGATGAGATATTTATTTTTTAATCGACGTAATTTTTTTTTTTGTAATTTGCTCTGGAATTGTTCATTAAAAAAAATTTTATATTCACCGGCTGACTAAATTAGATTTTACTCCTTGATTTGTTTCACTTAAAAATTTTTTAGAGTTTAATTGAATTAATTAATAAATTGTTTGATATTTTTTCATTAAAAACTGGTCAATTGATAAATAAATATAGTCTTAACATAAATACAAGATATGAAATAATCGAAAAATTGATTAAATTGAAAAAATAAAATTAAAAAAGTGTGTACGATTTATTAAAAACGTAATTATCTAATAAACGGCTGTATAAATTGTAACCGCTAGCATATCCGTTCGATAGACAAAAAAAGTATAAATAAAAGCATTAAAATAATATTAAATATGTATTTTAACAATTTGAATCTTGGATTCGATGAGTACACACGTGTTCATAAGTTTGTTTAAATTAACGCGTTAGATAAATTTGTTTTTAGAAGCTTTAATTAAACACGTACAATTACAAACGAAAACTAGCAAAATTGAGATTAAAAAAACGGCTGATCGTTTTTAATAAACACAATGAAACAATGAAAAATACAATGAAGTAAACGTTGCATATGTACTTAAATTTTATTGGTTTTTATTTAACCATTAACGTCTAGCTACTTGATTAACAAGTAGACAAATGTCATCCGACCACATATGTATAAAATAAAACTAATGATAATTATCATTTATAAATTATAATACAATAACAATAATTATGATAATAATATTTATTAAGTCCGAGGCACATTTTTCTTAGAAGCGTAAATTTGCATACCCACAATTAGGTAAAAAAACGAGCAATAATCGCATAAATAGTACCCTTTTATTTATCTTTTTTCGTATAAACGATTTATTAATAAAGATTAATCAATAATGATAAATAAATTAGATAGAGCCTTTGGATCAGTCCATCAAGCAAGTGATTACTTAAACAAACAAACTAATTAAATTGTCAAATATAAGTTCACTGCCATTCAAATGACTTGCGCTTAATAAATGATTTAAAAAGTGAAGTTTTTAAATAAAAAAAAAAAAAACACTAAAGCGCCAAATATTCCAGGTGAATGTAATGTGTACAGTATGTTAATGTACTTAGTTATGTATTAATTAATTAATGGTATGACATAACATAATATTAATGTTAATGTAATGATAATGAGTGTTATTTAACTCATTTTAGCAACTAAACCGTAATATTAATAATAATAATAATTATTATATTAATGATAAAATATATAGAATTAATTACAGAGCTATTATGAATGAAAATGATGCACGCTTTAAGGTAATACTGCAATTAAATGTGGTCAATGGTAATACATTCATAAATAATAAATAAATTTTATAATAAGCAATTATTAATCGTGTAATTTCACTCGACACTGTGAAGCATTATTTTTAATTAAATAATATAAGCAGTGTGGTTGATTTATTGATTAGTATTATTTAACTATGATCGATTAAATTAAATTGAAACGAATATTATTAAATAAATAAATATAATATTAATACCTTAACATTCCTCACTTATCCTTGTAAATAAATGGTTGACTCTATTTAGCGTAGCGTAAATTTGAATAGTTTAAATAAATAATTTATTAATGAGTTTACGGAAGAACTTGATCTTAACGCATTTTCAATCCATATGAAGCTCTGTGATTATAATTAATTAAAGAAAGATAAATAACAATTATAATTATAATTATATTAACAAAAAAAAAAATACGCTGATAGATGCTATATAACTAGAATAAATTGTGTACAGTGCAAAGTGGTGAAATTAACGATAATAATCGAAATCATTCTGGAGTAATTAATAGTTGATCGATTAATAAGATCGTTATGATTATGATTAATAATATTATTATGACTATTGATTATTTATTAATATTGATATTGATAAATTGAAATGTTTTGTTTGGAGGAAGTTCTTTGAGGACCAACTTCCATGGAAATTTTTAAACACGTAAATATTATATGTAACGAATAAATATTAAATGCGTAAGACATTAATAAGAATAAATAATGAAAAAAAATAAATAAACTTTCTATATTAACCGTACCAGTAGTATCTGTTAAGAGATTTAAAAGAATAATAACAAATTAGTGACTATGCTAATTTCCTTATAAAAAAAATCTCCAATCCTTCAACTTTATACTATCGTCAATTTTGTTATTCAATGAATAAAGATACATTAAAGACTAATTTTTTTGGTGAAAATAATTATTTATTTTTGTTTTTAATTTTAATAAAATTCAATTTAAAACATTTTAGAAAATCCAAAAGTGCACGCCTCATAATCTCATATTCCACAATAAAATTTATTAAAATAAAATACAAAAAACAGAAAACTCTGCTATGGATTAGTGACGGAATAATTCTAAGGTGAGGAAAAAAATATTATAATAAAATTTTTAAATAGATATACAAATACACAGTCGAATTTTAGTTTTTTATAAATAATAATTTAATGACAGTGAATTGAACGCTCATATTAATTGAAAAAGTCCTTAGAGTAGTACTTCAGATAATAAAAAAAAATCACCCCGGTGCGATTATTTTTAATTATTCAACATTATTTTAAGATCGGTGATTTTACTTAAACTATTCAATTTTTTATTTATTAATTATAACACCACAATATTGTCGGTATGAGACATTATTTTTAATGTTATTATTTAGTATATTAAACAAAATAATTTTTATTGGAATATTTTTCATGTGCTTATCCTTTAAGTGCGATATGAGTACAAAAAATCAATTTCAGTTTTGAGAAAACTCCTTTTTTTGACATATCGAAAGTAGAGCACTACCTCAACGCTTCACTTATGAGACGTGCAAAAAAATATTACTATTTAATTTTTATTTTAATAAATATAATACCCCAAATAACAAACTTATTAGAATATATGGACATTAAAAAAAAATAACCAATTTAATTATTAAAAAATTTCATTTATTATCTTCATACAAATTAGCTTATCAATTTATACAATAATTAATTACTTACTCAATTAATCATAAAATTTCAAGGTTTACATTCTTGATGATACGGCTCAAGTGTCCTAAAATCTCTCCACGTGGGTGGTAACGCATTATGTAAGTGTAATCCGCACCTTTTACAAGGATCGCTGAATAAATTATTTAAACTTCCGAACCAGGTCTGGATAAAAACAATCAATTAATACTTATATAGTAAATTAAAGAACAAAATAAATTTAAACTTACCATAAAAGATCTAACAGAAAGCTCCGGAAGTGCTGGCGAGTGAAAATGCAGCATAGCAGCATGTGCATTTTCAGTGAGTTTTTTGAAAACTTTGTACCTGGATTCCGTCCAGAGATCCATAGGCTCGCCGTATCCTTTTACGATCACCCACTCGATCATCAGACCTTTAAATGCTATTGCGCCTTTCAGGACCTGGCCCAGGGTGACATGCAAAATAGCATTTGAAGCGTAAGGCCGAGTTACAGTTACAGTCATCTCGCTGTGCACGCGATCTAGAGCCGCTATTAGCGCGTCAACTTGTCTAAGAGTAATAAAAATAATAAGTTAGTACAATTGATAATGATAATGGGGATAGTGGTGGTAAGTTAGAAGACGGCGATTAATCTAAGTGCTTACTGAGGTGGCACATTGTGAGAACTAATTTGCATTCGTCCTCTCTTGGCCCTGCTGGTACTTATGTAAGATCTTTTGAGGGAATTAGTACCCAACAGTGATTGCGCGATATGACTGTACTCATGAACTCTATCTGTCCATTTGTAACTGTTAACCAGAGTTCCATACAATGCTTGTCTACCTTGTGTCGTTTCTTGACTCAAGAATGTGGTACTTGCTAAGTTAAATGGTCCTGGTGGTGGATTTAGAGTACTTACTGCTTGTTCAACATCTCTGAAATTGTTCTTTTATTATTAAATATTAACGTATAAACATTTTACTATAATTATTATTGAAAATTGATTTATTAGAGATTTAATAATTTTTTTAACAAATAAATTACGGCAAAAAAGATGAGAAAAAAAATTGACATTTAGAAATTTTTAAAAATTAATAATGTAATTTTTTAAAAATAATTTTTTGGAACAAATTTGTTAAAAAAAAATTAAAAAATGATTGAAAAGTCTTTTTAAATTAAAAAAAATTTTTTTTTATACTTGATTAATAATTACCGTAAATTAACATTGACCGCAGTCAAGAGCTCCTGGAGCTCTTGTACATATTTAGCCTCTTTATTCTCTTCTCCATGATCAGCTCTCAGTCCATTACCAAGGCAATCAAAAACTTGTCCGACACTTGATCGCAATACTTTTATTGCTGTCAGTGCGGTGTGCAATTGTTCCATAATACGAGATTTTTATTTTTTTTTTTATTATAACCACTTTATTTTTTTTTAATTATTATAATTTCATCGCAAGTTGCGAATTTTTTATGTTAAAAATTTGTTTATAAACACACGTCACACGTAGAAAATATCAAAACAAACTTTTTAGGTTAGTTCGCTCTTAATATAACACAGCGGGAAAATTTTCTATTGTACCGACGAAATAGCGGTTTGTCAAAAATTCAAATTTCACGCGCAATGCAAGCAATATGGCGGTTAAAAAAGTAATTAATAATGATCATAATATCATCATGATAAAATAAAAAAAGAATGACAATTCTTAGTTAAGACAAAAAAAATATTTATAAATTATAAGTCTAACAATTTATTAACAAGTATTAAAAAGTTACTTACTGGCCCCAGAAGTAAAAATAATACGCCGCAGATTCGATGTGAAGATCCATCAACTAACGGCTAGTTTTTTGGCCATAATTACACTCACTAGTTAATATCGCACTATTTTTTCCGGCAAAAATAATAATCTGTATTTTAACAACACGTACTTACATATTTTTTATTCAACACTTAAATTATTTGAGTTTGTTAAGCTGAAGTAAATTATGACGTCATAATTTAAGACACTGAAGTTAATTGACATTAAAAATTTTTTTATAATTTTATAACAATTAAATTATTATGAAAAAAATTCAATAAAAAAATTCTACAGGTAAAAATTAAATAAAATCATTAGTGGACATTTTTTTTATTGTAATTGACGTGTTAGAAAAATTTTTAAAATTGACAGTTGTCAGTTAACTTCAGAATTATCTTTTCTTATTTCGCGCGCATTTCATTGTTGCGAATAATAATTATTAAATCAAGTCCATCTAAAATATAATTAACTTAAATAATTTCTAAATACTCTTTTTAATTAAACTAACATTTAACAGAACTCATCCGACTAATCGAAGCGACTTGCTTAGAGTCTTAGCGCTCAGTGACTAAATACTATATAGATAGAACTAGTTCGTTAAACCCCCACCCTAAAAAAATGCGCTTCCCCCACTCTCGGCCTCTAAAAAAATTTAAACTGTTAATTATTTAGCTATTTTTAAAAACTTCAAATGTTTTATTATGCAATTTTTAATTTAATTGACAGACTTATAATAATAATTATATAAATATATAACAGAATTGAAAGCAAGCGCTATCTTTGATACCAATTGCTGTTAATTGCATTTTCTTTATTTTTCTCTTTCTAAATTATAACCTGCAATTTGAATACTGTGTGTACAAATTTTATACCTCCAATATTTTTCACTCCACGTGTTTCATGTTTCAACTCGTGTTAAATAGTTAACATAGTATTTTAGTAAATAATTTTTATAAATAATCCTCAGCAAAAATGAACGTAATTCCTTGCTGTACGTGGGTTAAAAGAGGAGTTTCGGCCGCTGTTCCCGACAAAGTAATTAATTGTTTCATTTATCAATTATCAATATTATGTTTTATATTTATTACTCATTAAAGTACAATTGTTAATTAAAAAATAACTTTTAGGTGCAATTGACAGCTGAGGAGCTAGCAGGGATTATAAAAAAGACTGAATCAGATCTTGCGTATGTATTAACTACCTGAAAATTAAAAAAAAATTTCATTTTGTATTTTTAATTTTTAAAAATAATTTCAGTGAATTTGAAGCTAATTCTGATGATGATTCTGATAAAGAAGAAGCTGGATGTAGTAACACTAACACTGACAATAAAAACGAAGCTCCTTCAAAATCAACAGACGATGAATTCAATTTCGAGAACTATGACCAAGAAGGTAACAATTATTTATGACATTAAAGTTAACTGTCACTAGATAATTTTTTAATTTTATTTTAACAAAAAAATTGCATTTATAACTTTTTTAAATTTCTACTTGTCAATATTTTTTTCCATAATTTATTTGTTAAAAAAATGATTAAATATCTGATAAATTTATTTTCATAATTATTTATAAATTTAATTATGTTTTACTAATTTAATCAGTTATTAATTAATTTAATTTTTAGCTGGAGAGATCAAAGTCACTATGGACAGTTTGGCTTTAATAGAAAAGGATGGAAAAGATCCTTACATCACAGTGCAAGAAAGTGAAGATGATGACTCTGAAAAAGAAGATGAGATTATTAAACCTGATGATAATCTTGTGTTACTTGGACATGTTGATGGAGATGCTAGTATCCTAGAAGTCTATGGTACTTTATTAATTTATTTTTTTAATTTTTATCTTTTGATTTTATTTACTTGCTTGCTAACTATTAAACTTTTTATTTCTTCAGTTTACAACGAAAGAGAAGGTTCTTTCTATTGTCACCACGATATTTTCTTACCGTCGTTCCCACTGTGTTTTGAATGGCTCAGTTTTGATCCTTCTGATGCTAAACCAGGTAATTAAAATCTCCCATACTTTAAGATAATAAAGATTTATTTTGTAGTTAATTAATTCAGATTATTAATTATTTTAAATTAAAAAATATTCAGGAAATTTTGTTGCAATTGGTAACATGACGTCCGTTATTGAAGTATGGGATTTAGACATCGTCGATTGTTTAGAGCCGATTTTTAAACTCGGTTGTAAGCCAAGTAAAAAACACAATAGAAAACGTGTAGGTCACAAAGATGCTGTTCTTGATTTAGCATGGAATGTTCAATTACCGTAAGTGTTAATTATTTATTATCATGTATACTAAATTAAATTTATATAATCAATTAATCAATTATTTATAACACAGGCATATATTGGCAAGTGGATCTGTTGATAAAACGGTTCTACTATGGGACATTGAAAAAGGAGTCCCAGATACGAAATTAGATCAATTTACCGAAAAAGTTGGAGCACTTCAGTGGCATCCGAAGAAATCTTACATGTTACTGGCTGGATCTGAAGACAAGTAAATATTTATTTTCATGATAAATTTTTTTTAAATTGAATTAATAAATAATAAATAAAATTTATTTTTAGAACCGCTAAATTATTTGACTGTCGAACGAGCGATACATTCAAAACGTGGGAAGCTACTGGAGAAGTTGAACGTGTTTTGTGGAATCATTTTGACCCCAATTATTTCTTTGTAAGTATTTTAAATTAATACTGATAAAATTAAATTTTTTAATTTAATTATAAACATTATAAATAATTAATTATTGTGTTTTTAGTTAAGTACCAAAAATGGAATCATTGAATGCATTGATATACGGCAAGGACAGCATTTATGGGAAGTAAAAGGTCATGAAAAAGAAATAACAGGTCTGTCGCTTAGTTCTTCATGTCCAGGATTTTTAGTAACATCATCTGAAGATGGAGTAATTAAAGTATGGGACGCATTGAGCCCACAATTATTGGAACCTGTTTGGGAAACAGAAACAAATTTGGGAGCTATTCAGTGTCTTCATTTATCTCCAAACAGTCCGTTTACTATCGCTGTCGGTGGTGATCATAAATCTCATAATTTCAAAGTATGGGATCTCACGGAAAATTCGCAAGGTAAATATTTAAATTTAAAATGACTTTTTAATAAAATTACTTATTCTAACAATTTTTTTTTTTTTTTTTTAGTCAATGAACGATTTCGGTCACGAAGATTGGTTGAGCCAATCCAGAATGAAGAATCTGATGCCGGAAATCCTGAAGATACTGAAGAGATGGAAACTGATGAATGAATTAGATTTAAAATAAAAATGATTAAACAATTATAACTGAGATATATTCTCATTTCTTTTTTATTAAAGAAAAATTTTATCTTTACAAAAAAAAATGAGTTTAATTATATTTGATAAAAATTCCTAGTTCCAGTGATAATTAAAATAGAAAAAGTTTTAATTAATTAGAAGCTTGATTAATAAATTAGATCTGGAAAATTATTTATAAAAAATTGCATTTAGCGCTTCTAAAGATGGAATTTTTTTAATAAAATTTTTATGAAAATTAATTTAGCAGATATTTAATTATTTTAAGAATTTTTGTTAAAAAAAATTAAAAAATGGTCAAGTAATTGCTAACTTTAATGTCATTAAATTGTATTTGCTATAATCTATTAGTCATATCACTATTAATTCAAAACACACATTCGTACACATTGTTATTGTTGTAATTATGAAACTCCACATTTTGTGTATTATTTCTTAAAGTCACGGATGACGTCTCAATCGAATTAAGTAGGTGATTTTCTAGTTTTGTCACTCCATTTTATAAAAATCAATAAAAAATTTTTGTGTATTTATTTATATAAACATATAATTTATGAAACAAAAAGACTGACAATAAAGTGATATAAATTAGTGTTGACACATATTTCGAGGTTAAAAATATCTTGACCAACAATTATAAATAATTTATGATAAAAAGAAAATTAGACATGTAGATATTTAAAAAATAAAAAAAAGCAATTTTTTAAAAATAATTTTTCAGAAAAAATTTGCTTGTTAAATAAAATAAAAAAAATAGTAAAGAGACTGCTAAGTTTTAATGTCATATTTATTACTCTATTAATAAACAGAGACATAAAAATGTGGCCAAAAACACCAAGTGCTTTTAAAAAACTCAAAGATTATCATTGGAAAAAGTTGTTGACAAACCAACAAGAATTGTCAGGATGGAGAACGATGGCTGGTGGATCCAATGAACCACCAAAAGGGCATAATTTATCATTACCTGAAAGTAAGCATGTCGTGATATGTGGAGGTGGTGTCATGGGTGCTGCAGTTGCTTATCACTTAGCAGCTGCGGGATTAGGACCACAAACTATTCTTCTTGAAGGGTCTAGGTATTATAATGCTAAAATTAAAACACATTTGATTATTTTTAGAATTTTTCTAACAATTAAAATATTTATTAATTTATTATAAATTTATTTTCTTTATTTAATTTATTAATAATAAATAAATTAAATAAAATAATAATAAATATATAAATTAAATTAATATAATTAATAAAAATATTAAAACAAAATAATTTATTAAAAAAATTCCATGTTTAAAAATTATAAATAAAATTTTTAACAAATTATTATTTATACCTAATTTATTTTTTAAGAAAAATAAAATAATTGTCAAAAGTGTCTGTTAATTTCAGTGTCATCTATGTACTTGATATAAAGATTAAATTATAAAATACTAAATTTAATTTTACATACTTATGTATTTATTTATTCATCTACAGAATTGGTGAAGGGACAACTTGGCATTCATCTGGTTTAGTTGGAGCATTTAAACCAAGTTTATTTCAAGTGAAGCTAACACAAGATAGTATCGCTCTGTACAAAGATCTTGAAGCAAGAGGTCTTTCAACTGGATGGAAACAATGTGGGAGCCTGTCAGTTGCTAGAACTAGAGATAGGATGACGTCCTTCAGACGTATGAAAGCTCAAGCTGTGTGAGGAATTTTAAAATTATTTATAATTAACTTAAAAAAAGATACTAGATCAATTATTCTCACTCATTAGTAATTATAATTCTGTAGATCTCGTGACATCGAATGCGAGCTGATAACTCCAGCAGAAGCCCAAAAACTTTGTCCTCTACTCCGAGTCGATGATTTAGTAGGCGGTATTTGGATCCCGGGTGATGGTGTTGCTGATCCTTATCTTACTTGTTTAACTTTAATCGAAGAAGCTCAGAAAAACGGTATTACAAGTCTTTAATTAATATATAGAACTACTCACTGGTTTTATTTATCTGTTAAAGGAGTAGAAATTTATGAAAATTGTCGTATAACAAAAGTATTGAGTAACCAAGGAAAAGTATCCAAAGTTGAAACCACTCGTGGTAGTATTAATTGTGAACACTTTGTCAATTGCGCTGGATTTTGGGCTAGAAATATTGGAAAACTAAGTGATCCTTATGTTAAGGTATTTAGTTTTGGTATTACTTACTAGCAACTTTTGTTAAATTGCACTGTACTTTCTCAACTATTAACGTTTTTAAAGATATAAGCTCATCCCGATGTTACACTCGTCAAGAGCTTTCATTTGAGTACCCACATGCATTTTTTGATATATTTTTTCATATATACATATATCTAATATATATATATAATTGATGTGGGTACTCAAATGAAAGGTCTCGATGAGTGTAACATCGGGATGAGCTTATATCTTAAAAAA